GTTGTTAGGTAGGAGATGGATTCATACCTTTCCCAATGATATTTGCATATAGGTGAATGTAACGAACCTTTATTGAAATGTAAACAAAGACACCTATTACATTTTTTAATTCTTCAAAGTATGAATAATTTAGATACATTTTTGTGAAATGGCAACAATACTTTATGGCTACAAATTCTCTGTAGACCACCGATGGCCCGTCTGGACCATCGGTGGGCCACCTGGACCACGTTGAGAATCACAGATATAACCAATTGTTCCAAGAAGTAGGATCCAAGATAAAACTTTCTAAAACAGAAACTATGATCTGGATTTGAAATGAAACAATAATGGCTCATACGATGAATCTATTATGAAAATTCAAGATGTATTTAGTTCATACTAAACCTTTCAAATACCTCGGTACATACTCTGAATCTATTATGAAAATTCAAGATGTAGCTAGTTCATACTAAACCTTTCAAATACCTCGGTACATACTAGGAATCTATTATGAAAATTCAAGATGTAGCTAGTTCATAAACCTTTCAAATACCTCGGTACATAAATCAGTTATAACAAATTTATGCAATAAGGAAACTGAACAAAGAATTGTCAGCGCTCGTAGCAGTTTCTCCCCAAACCACAAATTGCTACACAACCAAAACATTAACCTAAAAATTCGGTTCATGCTTTTAAATGGCCTCATTATTTCGAAACTGGAGCCAAACTCCTTCAGAAATATCTAAACTGTCAATTGTATACAACCGATTTCTCAGAACAAAGATTTAAAATGGCTTCGAGATAACGAAGCATGTAGGTCCTAGAGGGCCCCACCCTTCTTTCTTCTTTGTGGTCTGGCGCTACAGAATCAAGAACAAAGTACTGTGCCAAAAAACAGAAACGCCATCCTTTGAGGACTTTCAAAAATAGCTGCAAGAATAATTTATACTTTTAAATCTTTTAGGTGATATTGTTATTAAGTAAAAACTATATTTACTAATCATAAATGGAAAAGCTTACTACAATTTAGTGACCTCCACACCAGTATTTTTAAAAGAATTTTGATTTTTTTTTTGTATGTTTATAAACATGCCGATTATTGTACATAATTTGATTACAATAAAATTGTATTTTATATGAATACTACCTTATCGAAATTGATATGTCGTAGAGTGGGTGAGGGTTGAATAAATTCGAAGGGACACGAGATCCTTGTACCGGCCTTGGTGGAAAGTACATAAGCATCTAGAAATTGCTTTATCTCAAGTGAGTAGTCATGAGTTAGTGAGAGAATAAATCTATTATATTGAATAGAATGTCTTCCTTTTTACGATTTTACGACAATAATGCATTGTAAGTAATTTTACTATGAAAATCCGTTGCAAAAATGAAAAGGGATTGTCAGTGGTCAGCAATTAAAATATGCGTTGTCGGGAGACTAAGACTAGCACAAAAAATAACATCTGTACTATTATTGATTTTATTACAAAAATGCATTGTAAGTATTTTTTCGTTTTTTACGGATTATCAACCCTTTAAAATTTATTGAAAGCAAGAAAATATTTTTAGATTGTAAGAATTTTTTTTTTTTTAGCTAATAAAGATTTAATGATACGAGTTTTACTAATTAATATATTGCTGGGGTCAGAAGAGTTGGGTTCATGACTTTGCCAAGGGCATTTACGCATAAATGAATATAATGAAGCCAACTGGAATTTGAACTCGACTCTCCAATTAACAATTCCGAGCCGTTATCCATTACACCACCCGCACATCCAAGCTTCCAGAACTTAGAGTATATACTTAATACGTACTTAAATAAACGTTAATTTTCTTATTTAAATTCCGTATTCTTGAAGACGTAGACGATCATGGCTCTTCACAAATTAATTTTTCTTTATAATCTGTCTTTATTTCTTGAAAAGGGTAATGGTGTAGTTTCTCATTGCCTTTTCCACAGTTGTAAAGAATCAAAAGCCGATTTCAGTTTCAGCGTCGATCTAACGCATGCAAGGGAGATAACTATTGTTGCACAACTTCTAGCACCAGCTTTTTTTTTTATCAAGTACTAGAATAGATATCTGATAATTAATAAAACAACATCTACAACAATAGTTGTTTAATTCTAATAAAATGTATTTATTCCAAGTAAAATATTTTTTTTATTTTTTTTTTCGTTTTAAATTAAATATAAGTGTAAAAATAAGAAAATAACTATTCAGGTTAAACTCGAATAAGGGACGTAACTCCAAAAATACTAAGGGAGTTAACTCAGTTGTACCGTTTAAATAAATTATATATAAAAAATAACGGGAAAGAAAATTATTAGTTAAAATTATTATTAACTCCCTTTATTTGAATATCTTCGTTCAGTTAGCCAAACGTTTGTACTAATAACGAAATTGTAGCTACGATCCTGGTTTTCATAGTTCTTAGTTTACACTTAAATCAATAAGCGTTTAACAGTCCCATTTTGTTTCTTTTTAATCATTTCACCCAAAGCAAGACGATAGATAATGCCACTAGGATGTCACAAAGGATTACTGGGAGTGGAAGGGAATTAGAAAATTTAAGTGAAGAGAATGGAGAATAGAAAAACGTGTGTCAGGGAGGCGGAAGATAGCGATTGATTTTGCATTTGAAATTTTGAAGATTGTAGATGGCAATGAAGTTAGAAATCAAAAATAAGTTCCACAGGCGAGAAGTGCGAAAAAATAAACTATTAGAATCGAACATACGACTGCTTTAAAATGTTGAGACCTAATTGCCAATCTAGTAGTACGCTTAAATTCATGCAGTCGAAGCACCAACGACGAGAGTTCATCAAAACAATTACCATGAAAATATTTGTAGAAAAGATAGAGAGAAGCCACTTCAGTTACGCCCTAGATGACCATCTTATACGAGTGGACTGTGACAGAGATAAGGTAACTTTCATAAGTACCTGTTGGCATTTCTCTCAGTTGAAAGGGTTTGACGTTCCAGTCCAGAAAAAATCAAATTTTCAAACGCTGATTTTCTAGATTCTTCCCTTGAAAAAATGACGCAGCATTATTCCAAATTCCATTTCTCTCGTATTTCACTCAGCTAAATATTCCGTAATTT